TCATGGCAATAAATGATTCATGTGTAAAAAAAAGAATTGCATAATATATTTTATCACTTATGTAAGAAAATGATAACAAATGAAATGTACTATATAAATACATTTATGATGTACATTGTATATTAAAACATCTGTAATTATGCTTTTCATGAAAAGAGTTCGTAATTATGTTCTAATTAAAGTATACGTTATAATTGTAATAAATGAACTACAATTTATAACATGTTTTGTTATGAGTATATTAATTATACAATTTTACTCATCTTGGGATTTTTTCTTTTTTTTCTTTTTCTTTTCACTTGAAACTTTATCGCTACTTAATGATGTAGTGTCTTCACTTTTTTGAACATCTTCTGTTTCCTGTTTAGTTTTCTTTTTCTTTTTCTTTGTTTGTTCTGCAAAAAAAATATTAATATACGTAATACAAAATTTTATTTTGGAAAACTTATAATTATATAAGATAGGTTAAGAAAAATGAAACCAACCTATTGTTACTTCAGATGAATCATCAAATGTTTGAGAAACTTCTAATTGTTGATCTTCTGTGATAGATGTGGAACTAGCTTCTTCGGTTGCTTCTGCTTTAATTTTCTTCTTCTTCTTCTTTGTGACTGGACTAGTTTCATCTTCTGTTTTTGCTTGAATTACATCTTGTTGAATTACTGATTCTTCTGTAGTCTCAGTATTCTGTCTTTTCTTTTTTTTCTTGGGAATCTCTTCATCTTGTTTCTCAATAATTTCTTCAATTATTGGCTTCTTATCTTCAATTTCTGAATGTCGTCTTTTGCTACTTGGGAGAGTTGAATCAGCGGATGCTGGATACTGAAGATATTCACTTTTAGTCTGGTATTTTTCAAATTTTGCTTTTGCTTTACCTGTACCACTAATTCTACGAAGATTTCCCTCTTCTAAGATTCTCATACGTGCTTCCAATTTAGATTTATGTTCAGCTCCTAGATCAAAATTACTGTCTTCTCCTAATGCGTCTACCCTGGTTGCTAATGCAGCTTTAGCTGCCAACATCCTTGACATTTTTCCTTTATTTTTTACTGAAGTTTGTCCAACCAGTTGCGCATGATAGATTAAACCATATTTTGGAGTATCTTTTTTAGTTTTTAGTGCTCGAAAGAGAGCTTTTTCTGCTCCAAGTATTTGTACTGTAGAAGCTGGATGCTTAGCAAGGTTGATTAATGAACCAGCATGTGAAATTAATCGAGCTCCAACTAACTCTCCAACTAGTACAGTTAAATTTGGAGCCATTGCCATCATTCTTGCTTTAAGGTAATCATATAATTGTGTTCTATACTGAGAAATTTCAATAACTTGATCACATAAGTGTTGAATATTTAAAATATCATCTTCAGAGATTTCAGTTCCCATAGATATCTCAGCAGCTTCTTTTACTTTCTCTTCTACGTCTTCTGGTAATACATCTGATAAATCTGAATTACCAGTGTTTTCCCTGGTTCCAATAATTTTTACTGTTTTTACAAATGCTATGTTGTCTGTTACTATTTTCCCAAGTTCTGGGAAGTGCCAGCCATACCACTCACGACAACGCATAACATAATTATTTAATTCTTTATCTAAGTCGTCTAATAGACAAACAGCTTGAATTATCATAGTATCAATCTTATCAGGTGAAAACTTCAGTTTATATCTAGATAAACTGTGTGCTAAACCTAATGCCATAGCAGTCATTTCTTTTTTTGGAAGACCAGCAAATAAACCATCTATCTGACTTCGAATACATCTCATTAATTCTTGTATAGCGTTATTACTAATGCAAGATAAACTTAGTTTATCTTTAATAGCATTTCCTAATTTAGCATCAGCAACGGCTAACTGTTCTTGAAGTTCAAAGCAATACTTCTTTAAGATTTTTTTCAATGATTTGGAAAGTTTACCTTCCACTGCAGCTGTAGTAGCTGCTAAAGCTTCAGTAGTATCAGCAAATTTCTCGAAATGTTTTAATTTTACTCTGAAATAATCAGAAAAATGTATTAATTATAAACATATTAATGTATTAATGTATTAATTATATATCATTGCAATTAAAAATTATTTTCATTATTTTTAATGAATTTGAACTTATAAAACATTAACAAAATATTTTACTTACATTTTGCTAGCAGCTTCAGGTGTTTCGAAGTCTTGAAAAAGGTTATCTACTTCCGCTAACTTACTTTCATCGAGTAACTGTATGAAAAAATTATATTTGACGTTAAAGTGTAATTTAATTTATATGTGTTTTCATTTATCATTTCTTTTGTATCTTGTACCGTAATTAAACAATATTAACAATTTTTTTATGTCTGAACACGTGCTAGAATATTAAGGGCATCGCCGCTGAACATATTAAAACGATATTTACCTTAAAAATGGCATATCCAGCTGGGGTTTCAAATAACACCAACATTTTAACCAATTTTATACAGAAGTATAAAAATTAACAACTTTTTAATGATTTTCGCATCTATAGTATAAACTCAAATTATAAGGGAAAGATTTGTAATATAAGTTTATGTGTGATTCTACAAAGCCCCACTCCAGCGCTAGTGGAAACTTGAATAATAGAAGGGCGTTTCAGTTATATTATATTTTTGAAACATGTGTAGTACAATTATATATGTAACATTCTCATTCATTTTCAGCATATTTTTATATTTAAAGCATGAATTTCATAGTATTTTTTAACGTTATTTTTTATTGAAAAGACGAATGCTGCAAGGTCATATTGCATGACCGTATTTCATTTTAAATAGTTGGCATTTCTGTAGTTAAGAAATAGTGGTATTATTTAAGTTTGGTGTATCTGATATTTTTACTACATTAAATATAATTCTGTCTTTTTTTCTCAATAAATTTCGGCTTAAAACATGAACGTAATACCATATATGCATTCTGTATGTGCAATATACTACAAAATATACGTTATTTGTAACATAACCTTTCTTCCAATGATTGTAAACATTTCAAATCATTATTTATATGAAAAGTATTTAATTTTTTCCAGATGTTTATAATGAATCAAAATAATTTCCTAAGAAGGTGCATTCATGTTAGTGCAGTGCATAATAGAACACAAGCTGGACGTTACAGACCTAAAGCCAAACCTCAGCCATTAACATATGAAATGGCAAATCCTCCTCATCATATTGCCGCCAGGAAAGCCTGGAATTCTTGGAATACATGTACATGAATAATTTTTTTCTAACTACTATTTCTACAATTTTTAGTTAGTAAAATGAATCAATATCAATTTGCTTATTTTTTTTAGCAAATGTATTAGGTGGAAACAGACCATCAGAAACTGCTGTGGAAGATATGTTTATTAGAAATTTTATGAATGGAACATGGCCATCATTTATTCTAAGTGAAGTAATTATTAAACGGCAACATAATATGATTAGAATTTCTGCTATTATGGCATTAAAAGTCTCAGTTAGAACAATATATTTCTTAATAGGCTATAGTGAAGAATTATTAAGTCTTTGGTTGCATTGTCCAGTCAAATTAGAGTTGGTTGTGACTGCATCATCAAAAGATGTTATATATAAAGTAATTTAATTTTATGTGTAGGAATGTTTCTTTAATATAATTATATTTAAATTATGATTATATAAATAAATGTATTATAATAATAAAAGTAATTAGATTTTGTTATCATATGAACTTTATAATTGAGTATAGAAAAGCTTCTACTCATAATTCCAGGCGCGTAGTCACGGCCCTGTATATCTGTGGCCGGCGAGCGATGGCCGTGTGGCGCGAAAGTTCCGTTCGCGGACATTTTCTTACCCTGTCCCAAAGAAAAACCAATGTTACGTTTCCCACGGGGGGTTCCTCTTCAGAAATGTCTGCAGAATCCAATGGTGCACAGCAAATTCGTGCTAGCCAACCCACTTTTCGTAGAAATGTAACAGAAGTGCATACAAAGTACGCGCATCTACCTTTTTTAAACTTTGATCACCGTTTACAAACATTTAATGATACGCAAAATTCAAAATTTTTATCGCTACGTGATCGGGCATGTCTCCTTTATTTTTTGCGACAAATTTTAACTGCCTATCGTTTTTAGTTTTCACGTAACACTTGGTTTTCTGAAAAATTCGACTGTTCTTACAAAATCCCAGTTTTTTCGAAAACTGGACCTGACCCAGCAATTTGGTTTTCGGATTTGTATTTAGGGTAAGGAACTCTATAAGAATTACATAGTGGCTATTGCAGAAACTAACATAGGTCAAAATTTGTTCCACAGTGTTAGTTGTTTCAGTGCAAATGTTCTTATAAAGGAATTCAGATATTAAGAAAGTTTATAATTACTTGTTTTACTTAAGGTATTCATTTTACTATGTAAAGTCAGCTTTAATCATTAGTGATGATAAAGTACAACTAATTGGATAAGAAATGCGAGGATGAAACAGGTATTACTATATTACATGGTACCAAATAATTTCATTGGGGACTATAAAGAATATATTCTGTATCCATTGTAAAAAAATTATAGCAGAAGACTAGAAATCTAACAATTGGTTTGGTATTAATTTTGTAATGACTATCATGTAAAAAGAAATATTCTCAAATAAAAATATTGTGCGTGTATTATGTTTAATTTAACTTTAAAACTGTTATTTAGTGCAATTTATACTTAATACAGTTGTAAAGAAAATCATAAGATAACATAATAATTATGCTTCTTGAATATTTTCAATTTATTTTACGTTAGTTAATAAATCGTTACATTCAATCATGATTCAAACGCAGCCCATATACAATCATTGCATTTTCAATAAAAAGTAAATTACATGTCACTTGAAAACAGGTATTTAAATAAAAAGGGTATTTAAGTGCAGACTGACAGAGCATTCAAACTTTTTTTTTATATATATTCTACTAAACACATTCTCTCTTTCGTTATGTCCTTACAACTCTTATCTTCAATATTCAATCAGGACCGTGTTGCTACTTATTTGTACTTTCCATACATCTTTGAGTATTTATATGAGTGTACAGTAATGAGGAATCATTAATAATTAATAAACTATAATTTATTTTGCTATAAAACAAATCTATGATATGCCAGATACTGAAATTATTGCAATAATTAAAACTTAATATATAAAAGTGAATAAAGACTATAAATTGATGACCGTGTTGTATTTTTTATGTATTACATCAACATATTTAATAATTAAAAGTTTATAAGGCATTTAAGAAGATTCATAGATGTATATTTCTTAAAAAAATTTTGTTTACGTTAAAACATTATTTTGTGTTAGAAGATTAAAAAAAGAATTTTATGAAAGAAGTTTTGATTCCAACATTTTTATGCAAATAAAGAATGTCTAAAAGCATACACGAAATCTGATTGAATTTACAGTATTAACACTGAGATTAATTATTTTTATGACGGACGCAACAATTATGTTATAATGTTTACAATTGTTTGATCATGTTTTTATAAAAGTACAGGCTGAAATGTGCTGTGCTTGCCTTATTTTATATTCTACTATTACATTCTTATTAATGGAAGTCAAAAATTTACATTGTTGCACAAAACTGTGTAGAATGTAATAAACATTGCTTGTATATTGCACTTTGTTGTAGCAAAGAAGTAAAATAATTTTCACCAAATTATCTTTGGATTTATATTAAGTATTATTTTTCACCTAACATAATGGGATTATTTGTAAAAAAAGAAGTGATACGCAAAAGTCATTACGCATTGGAAACTCTATTGCAGCTTACAATTTAATAGCTCATGTAAGTTTATGTTTAACATGTGTTCAAAATGAAACTAAATATTCTAGTGAATAAAATTATATTAATAGATCTATATGTTCTGTATGTTGTAAAATAAGGTGTACATTATTACTAAAATATATATTAGAAAATTATTTTTTGGTGTTTCTTATTCTACTGTTTGATAATATTTACTAAATTCGAAATGTACTTTTAGATAACAATACAGTATATTTTGATAGCACATAAATTATCATTTTATGTAACTTATTCACCAAAGCAATATTATTCCACACAGTATTGTACATGCAATGTATTACTTTTATGTATATACCCTTAAATTATGCAGTATACCCAGAATTACAAAGTATAGGTATTTACTACATATAATCGATGAAAGTGTAGAGGATGTCCTAAACATTTTAAATAACAGAACTTACTGTTTGCATCACCTAGAATTGACAATTAATATTAACCACATAAAAATATTTACCTACCATCAACTAATTTAAACCTAGTATTAAATTTTCTATGTAACGGAGAGGCTCAGAAGATTGAGAATTAACATAGTTAAAAATATCTGTGACATTGGTATTATAACAATACTAAAGGTTAGATGAACTACTTTAAGAGATTCATTTTCCTTTAATCGAGTACAATTATTAAAGTTGAATTGAAAGAACTTTGTATTAGTTCAATGAATTCTCATGTTACAATTGTATTTAAAATTCAAGAAACATCACTTTTATTGCGTTGATTCGAGATAAATTAAATTTCCTGAATTATTTTTAATCTTTCTTTATCATAAAAGTTGACAAAACAGTTCTTTTAAAACATTACTTGTTGCAAATTTAAAAAGGATATCTTAAAATTAAATTGTTATTGTATTATTCGTCTTTTTATGAACTTGGAATGGTCTTATTTGTAACATGCCATAATTAAACTGTAAAATAAAATAATTAAATGTCTTCTTAGTAGATATATTTGCAGAAATCATTAAACCTTATTACTAAAGAATGTACTTTTTTTTTATTAAATCTTCTTTATTGTTAAACCATTTTTTATTGAATAAGTAAATACAAATACTTTATGTAATGATAAATTTATAAGGGCAATCAGTTGAATATTTATATTTGAAAACGAATTTTGAATGATTTTTGAAGTTAATAGAAATAAACTAAATGAAACTAATATTATGCAATTATTAAAATAAAATGTTTATTTAAATAATGGTTCTATCTAAGTACTGCATTTATTGTCATACGATCATTTCTTTCTCTAAACAGTTCTATTTGTCATCAATTATAATACACAAATATAGATGTACTAAAATATTAATTACGACATGTAATAACATAATTTTAATATATCACTAGTTGACTAGAGTAAATTGATCTGTTCTAAAGCAGTAATAAGGAATATTTATTGATATTAACAATCTTTTTATGTATAGAGAAATGAAATGGTAAAATATGTTGTTATAGAAATTAAATTGAATGCTTGTAAAGATTTCATAGACTGTTTTCATTTATAATCTTATGTATTTTCATCTATCACAAGTGTTGTATTAAGTATTAATACTGTTGTATTTGACTAAGCAATAAAAAGTTGAACTTGATATTTCTGCACACATGAATGCATTTAACATGCGTGACTTGAATTTATTAAACACTGATATGATATTTCTTCATTCTTTAACGATGCTTTAAAAATGTTTACGTGTATGCAATACACATTTATAAGTTTATAATATATTTGTAAATTTTACATGTCAAAATTAACTATGTAATTAAATATAAACAACTAAACTTTTATGAGAATTCATCGAACTGTGTTAAGAATGCATTCAGTACAGCATAGGACACTTCTAACTCTATTGCTATATTTATTTTGTAAAAAAGAAACCACATTATCCTTAATATAAGAAAGAATTAAATCTTTGTTGCTTCTTATAGTGTACTTTGTATTGAAATTTATATGAATTCACATTAGCAAAAGTGGTGTTATTACACTAAAAGACAGTAGTTCTCAAGACATTGCAACAAGTCAACAAAGCATTAGCTTATGTAAGAAAACTGTTATAATTTACATAAGACAAGTGTTATTCATAAATTAAGAGATTTATGTTTTCTTTATATTTTTTCTATAATGTAATTGTGGATGTGTATATTAAAAAGATTGAGCTGATAACATGAATAATGCTAAAATTAAAACTAAATTAATTAGTATGAAAAACATTTACATCGAGAACTACTGTGTGTAGAATAAAGTACACGTATGATGTCTAAGCCAAAATGTTATATTAATCATTAATCTTCTCGAGCTTCTATTTGATGAAGTTATTTTGAATACTATGGCACAGACTCTGTGTGCCAAAATGCACGAAAACGCATATTGTCGTATAATATTTTCATACTTGTACAAACAAGATGATAGAGATTAAGTGCTTGCTTCGTTAACATTTGAAATAAATTGTTTTAATTTGATTCAGTACGAATACTATTTAAATAATTTGTATTATTTATCTAATCATTTCAAAATGAAACATAATTGTATATTTATATGTTAAAATATTCAAATTACGGTTAATTTTATAAGCATTCTTACTTTGTTGATAAATTGTAATAAAAAGTTACATATGGAAATCCTTAAAAGAAACTGTGATCAAATGCTGTTCATTGTATCTCAATACAACCTGCTTTTACATATCAATGCTATTAGTTTCATCCATCAAAAATAGCAAAGAACATTTTTTAAATAAAATATTTAAAATATTATTTTTACAAACAAAAAATGAAGTGGGATAAAATGTAAAGATAATGTTACTTCCTTGCCGTAAAAAACATACAGGTATTGTCAGGATTAAAAAATGTTTGAATTCTAAACATAAGAATTTCATATTACGTGGAAAACAAATACAATGCAACAATTTTTTTCCTATTACATTAATGAATCTATTAAGATGAAAAAAAAATATACGAATTTCGAACTATTCACGGTTGAGCTCTTGAAAAAACGTTGTTACATGAAGCATGAACATTTAATATCATACATCTTATTGATGTTAAAATAGATACATTTATTGTAAAAAGAATGAAAATTTCGATTCTTTAAAAACTACAAAGTATAATGTGCAGTTTCAATTTAGGCCCCAAATTACGAGTAACCGTGGTAGTATATTTTGTGTATTCATTGTTCATTTGATTGAGTAATAATGCGATTTGTGGATAATATATGAATACATATACAAATAGACACTGCCATTTCTATTCTCATTAATTAAAACTAGAATGTAATTATCTACTTTATACAACATTTACTACACACATGACTTTGATAAACTAATTACATACTACTTGTATAATTCAGTTGTCGTTTTTACCAAATATGAATAGAACACAAGTCTATTTCATTTCGATTATATTCATTATCTATAATGAAGATTATGCAACATGTAGTCATTTCATTTGAAAGATGTTTAAAAGTATTATTGTAAATAAAGAATTTACTTCATTGTTTTATACTTTATGAAATATTTCATATACGTGTTCTATTCTCATTGAAATAAAAATAAAACTTAATAAGGTAGTTAAGTATAATTAAGATATTATAGAACTCGTAGTACTATGAGAAAGATAGGATAAAATTTTTAAATGAATAGTGAACTGTTATGGTGCTTACCATATTATATATTCAATATTAGCGTGGTAAAATATTTATTGCAATATTGGTCTCGTTATTTAAATAATTCGACAAAAAATCTAACAAATTTACTTACAAAATTTTTAGAAAAAGATATTAAATTATTTTTAATACATATCTAAACAGCAGAACTTATACATTAATATTTTAGACGCTTTCATACAATTGACTGTAATTAAAATATAATAATAAATACAATTTTTGTAAGTAATAAATGAAAGTAATATCTATCCTTATCTTCATACCTTTTTAAAATGAAACCATAGCGAAAATAATGAAAAATGTCAATATAATCTTGATTAACATAACAGTAAATTAAATATTAATTAGAATTTAAAGAATGACAGAAAACATCAATTGTATGTACTTAAAAAACAAGTATAAGAAAGCTAATAATCGTGCAGCGCAACTGAATTAACAAGTAGTACATTGGTATGGTATATATTAATAACTGGAACAAAATCTAATAAGTGAATGTTAACTGATTTTCACGATGCTATGATTGATGAACATCATTACATTATCATACTTACAAATACACTCACTACAATATCATCTATTTCTTTATATAACATTATCATTATCAATATACGTGGCCAATAAGAACAGATTTGTACTTGCATTGAAATTGTTAAGTCAACTCCAATCACTTCGCACAGCCCAGTATAGCGTGTATGTTTTCATTATTTTTTGTTTTTGTTTTGTTTAAAAATACAATTTCTTGTTGGATGGCAGCATTCTTATAAAAAAATTGGCTTGGAGAATGTTGTAATGACATTTAGGAAGAGATTAGGGGGTCTTCTAGTAGATACTAACTTGTTAATAAATATGTGAAATTGTTCCAATTGTTAATGTCAATATCACAGAGGCTTGATCGGAATATCTTTTTGTAGGAAAATAGGTATCTACATATTACGATGGTGATAAAGGTTACGATACTCTTAATATGGGAAAGGTAAGTCTTAAAAATGCAATACACTATACATGGGCTAAACGCATTACAACACGACTCCCTTCACCTGGTCATTAGAATTGTTCATCAATATCTGATAATTTGTTGAATGTGCGGTAGTATGGAGTATTTGTAATATTTGCCATTAGAATAGTCGTTGACTGCGAGTGATATTGCTAGAGCCAGAAGTAAGAGAAAAATGTGATGGAGATTTTTTTCTTATTATTGTTTATTTCCTTATTGTTACTTGGGCCTAGTACGCAGCGGCTGCTACCTTCGTGAGATCAATCCATTGCTTGTTCCTACTGTTGGTGTCATTTCTAGTTCCACCAACAGTGGAAAATGATCTGAAACAGAAATATGAAACATAATTATAATTGATAGTGTTGCTTAATATTCTATTTAACAAGAATTTGTGGATATACCAGATGGAACATGAGGGTGTGGACATCCAACTACTTTATGTTCTCTAAACCAATCTGCACTTAATGGACCTAAAAGTCCCAATGGTACCATACTTTGTTTTGAGTAGAAAATGTAGTCTATTATTCCTTTGAAATCGAATCTGTAAAATTAAATGTTATGTAATATAAAATTATATGTATAAGTATACTTTTGATTTAGGAATATAAAACTTACGTATAATTAGTATAGGGCATGATGTCTTCACTATAGGCAGATGCAAGTTTAAAAGAGTGGGTGAATTCATTAGGTTTATCGCAACCAGAGATCTTTTGTAAGCATGATTTATAAGCTAAGTCTTTAAAGTCACGGTGGTCGGCCGCTACTCGTCCGGATGTAAGAAACTCGATTACTCCTGTATTGTAATAAACATGAATATTTTTTAAATTTAATTTAAAAATATCGATCTTACGAATAGATACGCTTGTTCTCACTACGTTAAGATACCCCATACACGATCAACACTATTCAATACATTCTTAATATTATATTTACATTGTTTATATTATATTCTGAGCACATTTCTGAACTATAAATTTAAGTAAATAATAATATGTTGAAAAGTTATTTTTTAAATATGTCTGATTAAATTTAAGGTGCCAAAGTATATAAAGTACCTTGAAACAAAAATTATTGTAAAAATAACTGTGTAACATTTTACCAGAATCAGGTAAGGAATTGAAGTCACCACAAAGTAATAGTTGAACATTGGAAGAGTCAGGCTTGTGACCAAGTCTGAAAGACTGGCCAGCTTGGTCCAAAATGGAACGTAATTCATTACTGAGCATCATTGTTTGAATTAATTTAACATCACAAAATTCTGGATCCCAGTGAATGTGTGCTGTACACACTAAAATTGGTTGCTGAACTTGTGCTGGATCAGATGGCAGACCTGAAAACATGGAGTGTGTTATATAAAAGAAAATATTATTCTACATTTTTTATAAAATCTTAAGTAAAACAAATTTAGCAATTTTAAGATTTCTTAAGATGTTTATATTTGAAAAATGACAATGCATATCTTTCGAAGTTCAGTTTTAGAAATTGAATTCTCTTTATCCGAGGAAAAATTGTCTTTTACATGTAAAACTCTCCAAGTTCATTCTTTATCAATAATAAAATTGATAAAAACAAAGACAAACCAGGTATATGCGAGTGCTGAACAAACTCTAGAATTTTAAGATTTTCTTATTCTATATAAAATGTATTATTAATTAATATCCCATAACTTTTAATCCTGATATTATTATACACCTGTTTTGTTTTCAATTCTAAAATCTATTTTTTTATTAGTATAATGATAGTTAATTACCAGCAATATGTTTGATCACATCATTAATATGGTAATATAGGATAAATTAAAAAAGAAAACACATGTAAAGTTTAATAATATAATTTATTTATAAGCTATAGAAAATAGTTAAATTAATAATTCACATAATTATATTTAGGTACAATATATAAGATATTAATAATGCACAAAGAAATATTAAAGAAGACTTTAACAAATAAAAAATTTCTCTGTTAAATAAAAGTAAGAATTTTCCATATAAGATATAAACTTTTAAAAGGTGATTTATTTATATGTAAAGAATGTTTTATGGTAATATATTTTTTACAGAAATTATATAAATTTATTGAATATTATTAGAATATTACTGTTGTTGTGAAAGCTCCGTAAATAAGAATACAAGGATAAGCAATTAAAGGACGTTGATTTTCTTCTCCACATATGGTAGTAAGTAATCTAGATGAGGAAAGAGTTGCCCAAACAACAGCCAATATGGCAAGACTTAATCCTATAGACCCTTTCAATGTAGTGAATATACTAAAACTAGCAAGTACTACTATAGGTAGTAAACAATATCCCAAAACAGATGCTATAGAAGATAATGTGATATTGCTTCTATGGCTCATTAGCGACAAAAGAATGTACATGAATATACAAAATGTCACGGCTAAGCCATAAACATAACTGAAATTAGCTTTTGAATCTGACAATGATAAACACGCAGCAAATACTATGCAGAATGCGACTGGGCCAGCCAAATCGGAATCCTGAAGTAGATAGTTTGCATCATCAAGTTCTCCTCTTTTGTGAAATGGATTTAATACAGCCAATGTTCTTTGTAATATTCGTTTAGGGTCTATACCCAGTTCTTCCAAGAGTGGAGGTTCTTCTTCTTCGTCTACAAATCCATTTGATCCTAAATTTTCATATGAACTATTATAAAACATGTCTTCAAATATACATATATAACTTTTAGAATGATTTAATTGATCACCTTTTGTAAAGTCATCATGATTATACATATCACTACCGTATGTATTTGGAGTGGGGTTTAAAAAACTTTTTTGGTTATAAGAGGAATAACTCTCAGATTGTTGGTCACTATATGTCTGAAACTCGAATTGTTGGTTAGGTTGACCAAAATCAGAAGGATCGAAATTATACTGTCCTTGGACTGGTTGGCCCAAATAATTTTCTAAGCCAGTATAACCAGACATTTTGACAACTGTTTTACAATTTAACTGCTTGCAATATGTGTTGAGATTTTTGAATGGAGTTTAGAAATTCTTCACCATATAGAGGAATTCACGCCACCTAACGTAAGAAATTGGATTCAAAAAATAAACAGCTTCCATCTGTTGATAAAATTTGGACCTATTGGCTTTTCAATTTTTCTACTATAAAATATAATTAAAATTTAAGAATTTAGTCTAACAGTGAATTCGATTAAGTAAAGAATATTAGACACAATTAAAATGTTTTGTTTACAGTGCACACAACAAATGAGTGGATGTAAACTTGTTTCAGTAAAAGGAATTTCGTTTGCAAGATAAAAAGTACTATTGTTATATACATTTTAAATATTTATTTTAATAAGTATTTAAAGCATAGAGATATTGATAATTCATCAGATAGTCAGATATTAAAAAGTTCTAATATAAATAAAATATAGCAACACCGTTCTCCACTTTTTCAGCGGTCGGTAATTTCTGAAGAACCAGTTTTTCTGATAGCTGTGCTGATAAAGAAGAGGTTTTTCTTAACCATCACAGTTTAGTTTGAATGTACGCGTTTGAATAAATGGGGATAGAGTTTACCTTTTAAATGTAACGTCTAATATTCAGCATCAACTTACAAAAACATTAAAGACACTTTCAACATTTTACATTCTGATGAGAAATATACATACTCTATGCGACCCCATATTTCTTACACGTCGTATATAATTTAATAAATAAACTATAAATAAATT